AGATCAATAGAATAATTGATGCTTTTGATTTATGGTGTTGGAGGAGAATATTGAAAGTACCATGGGCTGCCAAAAGAACAAACAGATCTGTGTTGGAAGTGCAGCCAGAGTGCTCCTTGGAGGCCTGGATGGCCAAAATTCATCTCTCATACTTTGGACATATTGTCAGGAGGGACCAGTCTCTGGAGAAGGATATCATGTTTGGTAGGGTGGAGGGTCAAAGAAAAAGAGGAAGACCCCTAGTGAGATGGATTGGCAAAGTGGCAGCATTAATGGGCTCAAGCATGGCAATGATAGTGATATTGACCCAGGATCAGGCAGTATTTCGTTCTGCTGTGCATAAGGTGTCTATGAGTCAGTACCGACTCAATGGCACCTAACAACAACAACAACTGAATTTCTTCTTGAATTATTGAGATATTAAATGGTCTCTGTTACTGGCCCTTTTCTTTTTCATAAGGATCAGAATTATACATAGAACAACTTTGCTCTCACCCCATTTGGAAACAGTGTCATGATTGTATTCATTTGGTAGCAATTGAAGCCCGTCATGTCATAAAAATTGAATAATACAGAACCATCAAAAGAAGATAGAAGTAATACACAGAATCACTGTACCTAAAATAAATGGTTGGTGTTCAGCCAGTTCAATAGGTAGCATAGTATCAAGAGCTAATGGCACTACAGTTAAAAGTTCAAATTGTACTGAAGGCATTGGTGAAAAACAAGGGTCCAGGAATTGACAGAATATAATTTGAAATCTTTCAACAAACTGATAAAGCACTGAAGGCACTCACTCATCTATGCCAAGAAATTTAGAAGACAGCTACCTGGCCAACTGGTTGGAAGGGATGCCTATTTGTGCTTTTTCCAAAGACAGGTGACACAACAGAATGCAAAACTCATTGGACAATATCACTGATAGAACATGCAAGTAAAATTTTGCTGGGGTTAATTCAAAATCAGTTGTAACAATACAATGACAAAGAACTGCCAAAAATTCAAGCTGGATTCAGAAGAGGATGTGGAGTTAAGGATATCATTACTGATGTCAGATGGATTTTGACTGAAAGTAGAGAATACCAGAAAGATGTTTACTTGCACTTTATTGATGATATGAAGGTTTTCAACTGTGAAGATCATGGCAAACTATGGACAACATTGTGAAGAATGAGGATTCCAGAATACTTAATTCTGCTCATAAGGAACTTCTACATATACCAAGAGGCAGTTGTTAGAGAGAGGAACAAGGGGATACCGAACAGTTTAAAAATCAGGACATGTGTGCCAAGGTTGTATTCTTTTACAAAACTTATTCCAAACTATATGTTGAGCAAATAATCTGAGAATCTGAATTATATGAAGAAGAACATGTCATAAAGATTGGAGGAAGACTCATTAAAAACCTGTAATATGTAGATGATACAACCTTGCTTGCTGAAAGCAATGAGAACTTAAACTAATGACTGATGGCAATCAAAGACTAGTTTTTAGTATGGACTGCACCTCAAAATAAAGGCAACACAATTCCTCATAACAGGACCGATAAATAATATCATGATAAATGGAGTCCTTGTGTGGGATAAGTACTGAACTGCTAACTACAGTGTCACTGGTTCAAACTCACCAGTTTCTCCTCTGAAACCCTATACAGGGTCGCTATGAGTCAGTACTGATTCTAGAGCATTTAGTGACAAAAATGAAGAAAAGACTGAAGTTGTCCAAGACTTTATTTT